TTGCAGCTTTCCCCGCTACAAATCTTGAGGCATTCTACCCTCACTTACATCCCCCCAACAACCTGGAGCTAAGAAAACATCCCCCTCTCCCTGGGAAAGGCAGTTTCCTCATCTCCTCACACCCTCAGCTGGGTTGGGTTGTTTTGTGAATCACTGCACACCTGGGGGCGGGCGCCCAAGAAGGTGGCCTCTCGCCGCAGTGTGTGAGCAGGTGGTGGTGCCATCCCAGGCCTCAGATCCACACACCCAGGCAATCTCCACGCCAGGACCCGGGAAGCGAGGCTGCTGCCTCTACGCCCTTTGCCCTCCAGCAGCTGCCTGCTGCCAGTTCATCATTCGTGCCTCCCCATTTCCAGGTCATATTTTCTTCTCCCTGTATCTGGTCCCTGAGCAGACATCAGAAAAGCCAATCCCTCCCTCCCGGATGCCAGGCCTCCTTTCCCAGCGGGTGAAAAGCTATCACCTTCCCATAAAGGCTCCTTCAAGGTCAAAACAGACAAGGCTGGATGGAGGGGCCACTGCTGCCCAAAGTCCCATGTAGTGAATAGGTGGGACTCTGGTCCCCACACCCCCAGGAGGCCACCCAAGTGCAGGCTGGGTAGCTCTGCCTCATGCTGCTGCACTGCTCGCGGCTTCCAAGGCCCTCTTTAACCCCAGCCCTAAGCGGAGAACTATCCTTGTGTCCCTGCCTGTGGCACTGCGTGTGGCCTCACAGAAAACCAGGGCTTCTGTGGTCACATAGTCTCCTGGCACACTGCCTTCAGCCATGGCTCCAAGTGTGGCTGCAATGTCACCGTTAGTCTGAGGGGAACAAAAAGGACACACTGATGGCCTCAGGCAAGGAACGTGGGGACCCCAGTGTTGTTGTTCCACTGTGCCTGCGGTGGGGGCTCATGCAGCCCAAATCACTGCCACTTCCTCAGGACAGCCCTGGACCTTTTCAAACTCTGGAACTTTCTCTAGACCCTTCATTTGTCCTTCCTTTAGTAGAAGAGGGTGAGATGAAGCCTCATTCTCCTACCAAAACCAGCTTCCTGGAGTACCCACAAGTCAGGCAAGGCAGGGGACATAGTCACTGTCTTCATCAACCAGCACTCAGCAAGCCAGGAGTGCTACGTCCACAAAGCTCTAGGAGTGGACAACATGACCCCATTTGGGGGAAATGCTAAATTCAGAGGGAGGCTCACAGCCAAGCCACATGTATGAGCCGCTACCCCATCCATCAGATTCAGAGAGACCGCCTCCTGTAGGCTGAGCTTCTCAATGACGCAAGGATTTGGTACAGAAAAGCTCTGTCACCAGCTCTCTTGCTGGTGTCACTTTTGAACTTT